TTCTTCTAAGAGAACTGCCCCCACACCCACCTCCCAGTTCCACTGATTACCTTGAGGAGGAGGCCTTAACTTGGCCAGTCACTGTATCGCATCCTCCTGGCAATGGAGAGCAATGAGGCTAAACCTTGAACTTTAGCTAGACCTTGTAGGAAAGCAGCTGTCCTGCTAGATTTGTTAATCTGGTGGGATGAGAGACATGGGAATGGAGCTGCTGGTGCCCCCCCTCCCCCCACCTCCAAAAGGGAGCCCAGCTGAGGATGATGCTAATAAAGATGACAGCAGGGCAAGAAATAAAGGCAGGCCAATATTTCAGGTGCTGTTCATTGGACCCCTGCATCAAGCCAGCCTTACAGGCAGTCGTTCCCCTGAATTTTCAGTCACATGAGACATTAATTTTTTTTTCCTTGCTTAAGCAAGATTGAACTGGTTTTTGACACTTAAAACCAAAGATTTCTGACAACATAGCCCGCAATGCCATGGCCTTGGACTGGTGTTGCTTATTTGGTCTGACCAGCCTTCTACCACTGGGCAAAGGAAGGACAAAGGGGCTATATGACAGCGACCACTACTGCGTTGTCTGTAAGAGGGACAGAGGTGCCTCAGGACATGGGGCCTGAACTCCAGAGCTCCAAGAAAGAGCTTCTCAGAGGAGCCAGGGAGAGGAGGGGGAAACTTGGCCATACCTGCCTCTCTAACTACTAATTCAACAGAATGTCATTTGCCTGGGCTCAGCCCCTTCTCTTTGGCCCAGAGGAGCATCTAGAGAAATCACAGGTTCTCAAGATGGCCCACTCCGGGATCCAGCAAGGCCATCCTGGTCTGTGCCCCAGAGAATGGTAAACCTCAGAAGCCACAGTACAGCCTTGTGGGAGAGTGTGCCCTGCAATGTAGTTTGCTTGGGTGGGGGGGCTGGTGGCGCCCGAGTCCGTCAGTGCAGGAGCTGCTAGGGAACAAGAAACCAGACAGATCTAAAAGTGGGGCAAGTGAAAAAAGAACAATGGAGTGATTCTTTGCCCAGTCCCATGCATGTAAAACTCTTTTTTTTTTTTTTTTTTTTTTTAAATACTAAACACCAGAGTGGTGCCTATCTGGGCAGGGGAAGGGGTGAATGGGAATTTAGAGTAGGGGCTGGGGGTGAAGTAGAAGAGTCAAACGAGAGAAGGGGCTTTAGTGGTCCAGGGATGACTCCCATGCCTTGATCTGACATGTCTGAAGAACTCAGCTCAGCACCCAGCAGGGAGGAGAAACAGGCGCCCATGCAAAGGTGACTGTTGTGGTCACAAGCCTGGCTATGCCCTGGGATCACCTGAAGAGCCTTGAGAGATCTAGATGCCTGGGGGCCACTCCCTGAAGTTCTGATTGAATTGGTCTGGATACAGCCACAGCTGAGAACCACTGAACTAACGACAGATGACAGACGGATGCATCTGGGTTCTAATCCTGGCTCTGCCACTCACAAACTTGGTGGTTTTAGGCAAGTCACTTCCCTTCCCTGAGTCCTGAAGTCTTGGGGCTAAATTCCCTGTCTTGAGGAGAGAATGAGCAGGTCACAAGAGAAGGCACACCAGACATGGGGGTCTGCAGCTGGACCCCCCTGCAGGAGGATGCTGGGCTAGGAACACAATTCCAACAAGTGAAAGAAATACCCATTAGGCCTATGAACCTTTTTCTTTTTGAGACTTAACTTTAGCTCAAGTTCCAGGACAAATAAAGGGTCCCCCTGTCCCACAAGACAGGGGGATGTTTCTCAGATGAGGGGTGCCAGATAAAATCCGGGATGCCCAGTGACATTCGAATTTCAGAAAAACAAATGCTTTTGTAAGTATGGCCCAAATATTATATGGGACATACTTGTACTAAAAAATTATTTTTCTGAACTTCACATGTAACGAGGTGTCCTGTATTTTTATTTGTTCAATTTGACAAGCTTACTTAGATGATACTTGAGCTTGTTGGTTTTCAGTCTTTATCTACTGGTCTGAGAGAAGTGAGGGAGGGGTGAGGGGTCTCTATTCTGGAGTTTTCCATTCTGGAGTTTCACAGCTGACAATCTCTAAAGGAACTATGTCACCTCCTTGTTCCTTGTGAGGAAAAGGAGATCAGAGGGCCCTGGATTGCACAAACACTGGCTGCCTTGTATTTATCCACTTGGTACCTTAGACACCATCATTAGAAAGCCCAGTTCTAAGAATTGGGAGAGGGAGATCCCACTTAGGATGGGATTTCTGTGGTTCTCATGTTGCCTCACCCCTGTTGCCAGCAACAATAGGGTATCTGTTGCCTGAACTCAAGCCAGAAAAATCATAAAAGCTTAGCTTTCTTATTTTTATTATAACTTTTTTTTTCCTGATCATGAATCATTAGTAACTTTGGTGGTAGTGGTGGGGATCACCCATAATCCCTTTACCCAGATGTCCCCAATGTCAATTTACTCTTCCCCTGGGAAGGAAACATTAAGCTTTGATCACATGCCAGAAACTTCCCCATTATCTCATGTAACCTTCAGAAAGAAAAATAACTTTATTGCCCTTTCTCATTGTAAAAGCACTATAAGCTCTTCACACATTTTTTTTTTTTTTTTTTTTGGTAAAGTAACTCATAGATGTATAAAGAAATGAAATTCACCTAGAATCCTATCACTCAGAAATGGAATTCCTTTGAATCTCACTTGTAAACCTAGTCCTGTAGCACAGGGCTTCCTATCAACCAGCACATCTCCGGCACTGCCTGAAGATAAGGAAACTGAGGATCATGTCTACCACGTTACACCAGTATTCCAGGGGGTTCTCTCCCTTTCCTCCAAGGGGCTTGGGGCATTAAAGGGGGCTCAGTAAAAGTTTGCTAAGTGAACAAATGAACGGGGGAAGAGTCCATGACTCCTCAGATTAAGTCATCAAAGGTTCCTTCCAGTTTGTATTTTCAAAAAACCCTAACCCACTTGTGCAAGATTACAGGGTGGATATGATTTCTTGGCGGTTACCCCAACACATGGGCTATATGAGGGAGCAGGTGAATGAGGTGTGATTGTTTCCCTGCTCTGAATAGAGAGCTCCAAAACAGAGTGACAGGAGATCTAGGAGGCTTTAGAAACCTACATCTCTTGGAGGTGAAATGCAAAACCTTCTATGGAAAACTCGAGTGTGGGGCAATGTGGTTAAAATGCCCAAGTAAGGCCCCAGCATAACAGGGTGGGTAGCTATTTGTAGTCTGGTCTGCCTAAGCCTGGAATTCAGACATGTGCTTAGCCCCACATGCAAATGGGCAGAGATTCTGATTTTTTAGCTGTTATTTCTTGAGCACCTTCTATGTGCCAGGTACTGTGCTGTGTCCCTTTCATATACCCTCATGTCCCCCAACAATGCCAGGAGGTAATGCTACTGTGAACCCATTTTACAGATGAAGAAACTGAGACGCATAGAGGTTTAGTCACCTGGCCAATCCCACACAGCTGGCAAGTCGAGAACCAGGTGTGAAACAGAGGTCTGTGTGACTCCCAACCTTCTACTCTTAACCACTCAGAAGTTCTGCCTTCCTTCTTCTGGGGAAGGAGGGCACAACTGGGATGCGTGTCTTTTCCCTCCTTGCCCATTGGTGGTGTGGGTGGTAGTGGAGAGCAAGGAGCCTGGGCCAGAGTTTTCCCTCAAGGTGCAAGGCAGAAAAACCAGAAACAGCCCAGACATTCAGATCCACCAGCTATGGTACATCTATATCTTGGAATACTACTCAGCAATTAAAAAGGAACAAACCACTGATTCACACAGCAACAACATGGATGAATCTCAAAAATAATGTGCTGCGATAAAGCAGCCAGACAGAAATGCATATATACTGTATGATTCCATTTACATGAAGTTCAAGAATAGGTGCAACTAGTCTATGGCGAAAAATCAGAACATGGGCTGCCTCCAAGAAAGAGGGGAACTTTCTTGGGTTATGGCTGGTGTATAAATCCGTCCAAACTCAAACTTAAAAAACAAAAACTTTAAATCTGTGTATTTACTGAAGGTAAGTGACAGGTAGGGCTGTGTCCAGATCCCCTGAGAAACCTGATCTCCCTTCACTTCCTCAGAAATCAAGGTTGGGCTGGCTCACATGTAACCTGTGAGTTCAAGAGCTAAGGCCACAAATACAAAGGACAGTGGTTGCCAGGGGCTGGAGGTAGGGGAGAATGGGGAGTGACGGCTTAATGGGTATGGGTTTCCCCTTTGGGGTGATGAAAATGTTTTGGAACTAGAGGTGATTGTTTCCAACTGAATGCCACTGAATTGTACACTTTAAAATGGTTGCTTTGAAGTTATGTGAATTTTAAATCATTTTAAAAAGTAATAAAAGAGGGAAAAAAGGTCTCAAGGGCTTCTTCCCCAAGGGTTCTCGCCACCAGGATTTTAACATTAGCGGCTGCCTCCTCTGTTAGAGCCAGGGCTAGCCTGGCTTGTCTGCCTGCCTCCCCAGTGGACCTTGAGCCCCTTAACGGTGGCCACTGTAGATAACTCGAGGACTGGGGCATAAATTTGATTGTTGAGTAAGTGGATGTGTGAGTGACTGAATGAATGAGCAAATGAATATACCTGTGTGAATGACTGAATACACGAATGAGTGAGCAAACACATGCATAAGTGAGTGAATGAGCAAATGAACAAGAGAGTGAAGGAATTAGCAAAGGAATGGACAAAAGCCTGAGTGAGTGAATGAGCACAAGTACCTGATGTATGAGCGAACCTGAGCCAGGGCCTGGACTCTGGACCCAACCCTTGTGGGTTCCAGTCCTGGCTTTGCAACACAAGTTATTTAACCTCTCCATGCCTCAGTTTTCTCACCTGCAAAATGAGTATGGCGGGTTGTGGTAAAATAATAATTAATAATAATAATAATAATGAGTTAAAATGTGTAAACTGCTTAGAACAAGGCTTGGCAAAGTAAGCCCTTCGTGTTTGCGAATATTAAAAAAAATACACATCCATGCGCACAGAGACCCGGTGCCTGGACGGCGCGCGACCTACCGAGGAGCTGCACCTCGTCGGTGATGCCGTAGACGTCGATGAGCGCCCAGAGCGGGCCGCCCACGGCCACGCCGCAGTGGAAGAGCACGGGCTCGCCGTCGTTGACGCTGTAGAACACGCGGCCGTGGCGGTCCGCCCAGTAGGCCAGCACGGTGTCGCGCAGCGCCAGGTTCTCGGGCAGCGCCTTGGCCCAGTAGCCAGGCCGCGTGACAAGGTCGGGGCAGGCGTACTTGGGGATGTCCTGGGCGCTCATGAGCGATGGGTCGTGCGCCGTGAAGCCGAAGCGCAGCGCGCCGCTCCAGCCCGGGCGCACGGCCACCAGGCGCAGCCGCACCTGCTCGTACAGCCGGATGGGCCGCTGCGTGAACGTGACGCCGTTGCAGAAGCTGTTGCGCCGAGTGGCCCGGCGCGAGTGGCCGTCCAGCCGCACGTTCTTGCCTTTGGCCTGTGCGTGGAAGCGCGGCGCTTCGCCCAGGACTGGGCGCCGCTCGGGGCCGGGGCCGCAGCACGGCCGGGTGGCCAGGAGGCGAGCCGGCGGGCTCGGGTCTGCGGGAAGAGACAGGCAGGAGGGTTAGAGCCCCTCAGAACTCCGCGAACAGGTTCGTCTTTTCATAGTCATTTGCATTTTAAATTCCATCTTAATAGACCCGTAATAAACTTTGAGAAGTTTCCAGCTACCGCCAGCCTGCCCAAGGCTGTCACAACAAAGTCACTATGATCTGTGGCTTCCCCTCCCATTTACCCATAGAAAATGAAGGCATTCTTTATAAGCAAGGTTGGCTTTTCTAGAACATGCACCTTGGAGGGTTCGTTTCTAAGGGAATTTTGCACCAAAGGACCTGGAGAATCTTGGGAGGGTCTCTTTTCAAAGGAGCTGGCTGCTGGCCACAAACTCAGGTGGCTGAGTGTTGAGGTGGGGGCTTCATCATTACCACCTTTCCTCCTCCATCCCAGGGGCAGTTCTGGCTCTGGCAGCCTGGGAGGTGGCAGGGTGGGTCATTACTGCATGAGTCTCTGCTGCTCATTCACAACAGCAGCTGAGTACAATTTTCATGGCAAGTGCTTATAAATCGCAGGCAACCCCTGGCACACAGGGCTCTATAATCGTGGCAGAAGAATAGCCACCTCAGGGAATGAGAGGCCACTGCTGGGACCACTCCTCCCACACCCAGCCATGGGGTTCACTGTGCTCTGGGCACGTTGCTGGGCTTCCATTAATACTGAGACTAATGGGAGCGAGGGCAGGGGAAAATGAGAGATGTGATGACGAGGCAGGCAAGCCATGGCTCCCCTCCCCAAGCCCGTGGGGGAGGATGCCCCAGTTAGGAGGTAGAAAGCCATGCTGGGAAGCTGGAGGCCCCTCTCTAAACAGAAGCCAGTGATCCACAGAAGACAAAATACAAGGACTGAAGCCAAGGTCCTGCATAAGAAAAACAAACAAACTTAAGGGACTTTAATCATTCGTTCATTTAACAATGTCTAGTGAGCACCTAGTGTGTGCCAGGCACCATGCTAGGCACTGGAAATACAGCAGTCACCAAGAGGGATAAGGTTCCCACTCTGAAGGAGTGGGCATTCTGGGGCGGGGGGCAAAGTCAGACAAGAAGTAAAACATACTCTACCTGGTGGGAGGCACCACAGAGAAAAATGCAGTCAGGAAGTGGGGGGGAGAGAAGTATTAGGATTTTCACAGAGGGCCTCTTTAAGCGGTGACTTTTGAGCAGAGGTGAAGGGAGTGAGCCATGAGGGTAGCTGGAGGAAGAGCTTTCCAGGCACGGGAACAACACGTGCAAAGACCCTGAGGCGGGAATGAGCTGGTGTGGCTGAGAAACAGCAAGGCGGCCAGCTGGGGTGGTGTGAGCAGGTGGGGGAGGTGGAGGCAAATGAGAGCAGGGCCCGAGCAGTGAGGGGTGGCAGGGAGGGAGGGGGTGCTGTGGTCGCTGCTTGTTTTTTCTTGAGCCAGTTTATCCTACGTGAGAGGGACATTATTGGGGGTTTCGGACTGAGAAGTAGTGAGACCGCTCAGGGTGCTGTGTGGAGAGGGGACTATTGGCAGGGGGGTGGCCGAGGAAGCTGGGGGCTAGGGCAAGGCCACTGGATTATCCCAGGCACAGATGAGGAAGGCTGAGATTGGCAGGTGGGACGGTACCTGTAAAGGTGGTGAGAAGGGGTCAGATCCTGGATATATTTCGAAGGCAGTAGAGATTTGGAGTTTTAAGGTTTTAATGAGAGCTGAAACATTCCGTGTACTTGCTTTGGATGGTTAAAATATAGTCAATAAATAAGACTAGTAACGGATACTTGACGGGGAGGCAGAGAGGTGGTGAGGAGGGATAGGGAGATACTAGGGTTGGATCCTGGAGGGCAGGGGCTTTTCCATTTCATCTTTGATTCTCCCATGCTCAGCAAAGGCCAGTCACACACCAGGCACTTGATAAAAGCCACCTGCCGCCTCTGTTATGTTAGAGCTAGAGCAGATCTCAGAAATCATCTCTGACAAGCCCATTTTACAGGTGGGGAAATGGGCCCAAAGAGGGATGGGGGCCTGCCAAGTTCAAGGTCAGTGGGCGTCTGGGCAGGCCGCCTCTGAGGCAGGAGGCAGAAGGGCAGAGGTTACTTTCACCCAAGGAGGATAAGGAGAGCACTCTTTGGCTTATAAGCCAGCTTGAGCTAGGTTTCTGATCTTTGCAGCCCAAACTGCCTTGATTGGTAGGAACCTTGTACGGGACAGCGGGGAGAGGGGACCACAAAGGGCTTTCGCAGAGCAGGCCCAGCACTGCCTGCTAGGGAGGGGCCCCCCAGGCAGCGCAGAGGGTGGACCCAGAGCCACACTGCGGGTCATCTCCAGAAGCACAAGGATAAGAGCAAGGGCCCACTGGAGAGCTATTTTGGAGGACAAAAATCAAACAAGGGGAAATACGACCCGGTGTAAACCATCAGGAGAGGCCGCCCAGGGACCACAGAGCCCACGTTCTCCATGCACGCTGTAGTCTTGTGCAAGCCACCCAGCTTCTCTGGGGCTGCAGCTTCCTCCCGTGTCCACAGGCCAAATCCTCCCCAAGGTCCCCACAGCTGACACACTCTCCAGGGAACATTAAATATGACCACAGATCAAAAGCCCTTCTGAGCACCAAAGCCCACAAGCCACGGTTATGTGATTACTTTCCTCTCCCCCTGACATCTCTGCTGTTTCCCCATCCTTCTCTCTCAACTGGAGAATTTCTTTACCAAACAGCTTGGGAATCCTAAGTAGATATCCTTTCAGAGCGACCTGGCGGTTGAAATGAACACTGGCTGGGGAGACACACTGCTTTGTTCCTACAAGGGGAAGCTTCCTATAAAACCAGCTATATGTTAGGACAAAACACAGCCAAGTGACCTGCGAAGTTTACATACTTGCTGAATCTTGATTGTATGATCCAACTTCCTTCAGGGAGTGAGGGATAAGCACTCTTTCTACCCCCTCAGAGGCCAGTGTCCTGACATGAGGTAGAAAGACCAGAGTGGAAGTGTCTAAGAGGATGTGTTATTTATACAAATTGAAAATGCTTAAGATGAAAGAACAGTAATAAGCAATCTCCAAATTGTACACCACCAACTGCTTTTAGCTCGGCTCAGGGAAAGTGGCTTCCACAAGAAACAGAGAAATGTGAATGCGGGCCCCAGGGGCCCCACGGAACATCCTAGTTCAGAGATGTTAGCAGAAAACCCGACGTTTAAACACCACAGCCACGTGAGAGACAGTTTGGTGAGGAGGAGGAAAATCCCTCCTTTTTACCTACCTTCACAGCCTAACTCACATGGCATTTTCCATGGTCTCTGCGCGGCCCTTATCCATGGAAGAGCCCCTGGCTGTGCCCTCCCTGTGTGCTATGCCTCATGCCAGAGGTCTTCTGGGACATGGGATTGTAGCTACTTCTCAAAATCCTTCACCTGCAGGATTTTCTAGGCGAGAAACAAAACTCCAGGCAGCAGAGACACTTCCCCTCAGCTGCGAGAAGCAGTGTAGAGATGTCAGCCCAGCAATGTCTGATCCCAAACCAGCGTCCTTTCCTCCAGTCCCAGCCTTTTTCCACAAGCGGTGTGGAAGTACTGAGTACTAAGTAGTCCTCAGCACCTTTTCCAACTTCACTGCAGTCAGAGCCCGCATCCAGTTTTGCTTCCTGCCTTTTTGTTTTCTAACTCAACATTACATAAAAAGCATTTTCCCCACATGGCTCCTGAACACTCACAGTGCTTAGGTTTCTTGGCTGCAGAATATTCCATCAAGGGCCACAGTGTCCCCCACCGTTCCCCTCCTGGGGATCACTTCAGCTGTTCCCCCAAATGGCCAAGTCTGTGGGCACAGAGGTTCCTAGCTTCTGGCAGCAGCACCAGATTCAAACGGGCACGCTGTCACTGGTGAGGAAACCTTCTGCCAGGAAGAGGCCCCCACACCAGGCCAGGGAACAGGCCCCGGGCCCCTTTCTTCCACCGAAGGCTGAGCACCCGCTGGCCTTGTGAGGGTGCCGCCTATGGCCAGGGAGCCCCCTCCTCTTCTGGCTGGGAGTCAGACCTGGGGACTCTAAGGACAAGGCAGGGCAGAGGGGCTGTTGTCCGGTGGGAGCCCAGGAGACCTCTGCAGTAGCCTAGGAGGGAGCAGGAGACATTCCTGGCCCAACGTCACAGCTGACCAAAGGCTGCTCCAGCCCTGCCAAGACCAGAGGGGAGGGTCTTTCCAGTGTTTCGTCAAGGAAGCAATGCCTGGACTCTAAATGTAGGGGCAGAGATTGAGGGGGGTGGCACTGAGTGGCTGTGGACAGTTAGGACGGGACTCTATTCTGACTAAATAAATGTTGTCACTGCCCAGCCTTGGACAAGTCCTTCGGTTAGACAGGTGGACATGAGAGCAGCTCGGGTGGTGGCTAATGTGTTTTTCCCTCATCTTTGCTTTAGAACACACCTCATGGGCTCTGGGTTCAAGCCTGTGCTTTGCTGCTCATTTGCCTGGGGGCCCTGGGCAGCCACATCACTTCCCAGCACCGCAGTTTTTCATCTGGAATGGCACGTGACCTTAGACCCCTGTCTCGGACTGCTGAGAGGCTGGGAGAGCGTAGAGAGATCGGGCAGAAATCCTGGCACATAGTAGATGATCACCAAACGTTCATTTCCTTCCCCGTGGGAACAGCAGATCCAACTCCTGGGTGAGCCCTTCACCTCCATCCCTCCCAGAGTTTCATTTCCTAAAGGAGGCAGTTAAAGAGAACATAGGCTTGGAGTCAGACAGATCTGGGTTTAAATTCTGTTTTGTCATCTCATAGCGGTGTGATTAAGGTCCATGCTTAACTTCTCTGGGTCTCCCCATCCAGCGCTACAAAACTGGCAGGAGTCCTCACTACCCTGCAGGACCGCTGTGAGGAGTTTTGAATTTGCGAGGTAAATCCGTCAGACACGATGCGTGGCACGTAGTAGGTGTTCACTAAACACGTGGTCTCTCCCATTAGTCACCTTACTTCGTTCCTTTGACAAGAAGGTTTCTGATGTCCTTTGACATCAGAGACGTCTAC